GATCTCGGCTCACCGCAACCTCCACCTCCTGGGTTCAGGCAATTCTCCTGCCTCAGCCTCCTGAGTCGCTGGGATTACAGGCATGCGCCACCATGCCCAGCTGATTTTTTGTGTTTTTAGTAGAGACGGGGTTTCACCATGTTGACCAGTATGGTCTCGATCTCTTGACCTCGTGATCCACCCGCCTCGGCCTCCCAAAGTGCTGGGATTACAGGCGTGAGCCACCGCGCCCGGCCCTAATTTTTGTATTTTTATGTATTTATAAGAGACGGGGTTTCACCGTATTGGTCAGGCTTGTCTTGAACTCCTGAACTTATGATCTGCCCACCTCGGCCTCCCAAAGTGCTGGGATTGTAGGTGTGAGCCACCGTGTCTGGGCCTAAAATATATTTTCAAAAAAGGAATGAGAGATAAATAAACTGTTTACTTTAATAGGTTGTCCTTCTTAAGGGAGATTGTGACAGTAATGAACTAAGAGGGTTTAAGCATTAATCATTCAATAACAGAGCAGGATGTTCCATCTCTTATAGTTATGGTGAATAATTAGAATTGAGTCACTGAAAGCCTGGAGTGTGGGAGTAAGTTAAATAGTAGTATCTGAGTACTTAGAAACTGCAACTCAAGGTCGTTTTGCTGTTTATAGTTGCAGAAGTATTGTAATAATTATATGACTTGGAAGAAAATAGAGCACATAAAAATGCCAACCACTGGTGCTGGTGATAAAGGCAAAATAAAGTATTGAATACATGTAAGAAAGAAAGTTTTTCACCAGAAAATAGCAGTTTAGGATAAATTAAAGAGTGATATTGCATATTGAGATAAATTTATGCTACTATAGGGCATTTCTTGGTGTATATTTCTTGGAATAAAGCCACAGAAAATAATGGGGGGGGGGGAATATTTGGAAAGCACTGCCCATTATATCTAGTCTTCTAGTCTTTTCAGATTTACTATGCATGATTAGCATATTAAAATATTCCTGCTGTCTTCCAATAAAGAAATCTGTTTAACATTGTTTAACCCAATGTTTTCCAAATTTATTTGACCTTAGAGCCCTCTTTTCATGTAACACCTATTTAAACCTCACAGAATTTTGTTATTCAAAGCATTTTCTGGAGAATACTAAGATAAAAGTGTAATGAATTTGATATGATTGTTTTAATGACAAAGATTTTTACTGACATTATAAATTACTTTAACCCTTTATCAATGAAAACTTTCAGCCATTTTATTAGCACATTTATGGAAATCATAAGCTAAATCAGTATTTATAGATTTGGAAATTGAAGACTCTCTCGGATACATTTTCTGCAAAGAATAAGAGTCTACATTTTTTAGTGCAAGCAGTAGCGGCATGAATCTTTAAGTATAAGCAATTTTTTTTTTTTTTGCATTTTACAAGATGGCAAGCTACACATCTGGTCTTGGTTCTTTCAACTTTGAAAAGTGAGTAATAGCTATTATTTACTATTTTACAGTGTCCCTTCACTTTCAGGGACACTGTAAAAAAAAATCATAGTTTTGGTCCTCAATTTAGAATCTTACCTGTACTGATGATGTCATCTGGAAGCTCATCTCCACAGTATCTGAAAGGGAATTTTTATAAAAAAGATGGGTCACACAAATGAATATTATACAGCTAGTAAAGTGGCTCTTACTGATAATTAAGCCTCTAAGTAACAGCTCATTGTTTCATAATTTTTAAAATTTCTATTGTTATTTTACCTGGATTTTTAAGTTTGTTATTTGAAATAATCTTCTTACGATATTGATGATATTTTATTTTATTTTATTGAGACAGAGTCTCACTCTGTCACCTAAGCTGGAGTGCAGTGGTGCAATCTCAGCTCACTGTAACCTCTGCCTCCTGGGTTCAAGCAATTCTCCTGCCTCAGCCTCCTGAGTAACTGGGATTACAAGCATGCGCCACCACACCTGGCTAATTTTTGTGCTTTTAGTAGAGCGGGTTTTCACCATGTTGGCCATGCTGTTCTTAGTGTGGACACCCCATCAGCATAGTGGACTGTAGCCCAGAACTACTGGACTCAATGCTCCTCCTGCCTCAGCTTCTGAAATAGCTAGGACCACAGGTATGCCCACCTGTACTTTATTCTTAATTCCCCCAACTCTATTTCGTGGCGTCATTAAACTATCTTTATAAACTATTTTTTTCTATAGCAGTAGTCTGTCAGCTAAAGAAGAAAACAAAACCAAAAATACTTTCCCTTCAAAAACTATTCATTTTTGCAAGAAATGCCTTTGGTTTTCTTTGTATTTAAGTTACACATTCAAAATCAACATAAAAAGCAATTGAGTCTGTCATTTTTAAATTGTCCCCACTACCATTTTTTTCCCATTAAATTACTATCATGTGTAATAGAGAATTGAAAACTGATAGTCTGTTAATAAATTGATAGTCTAAAATATGGGTTATTAGGTGGGGACCTGAATATATAAAATATCTAATTATACACTCTTTAATTTTGCAATATGTCATTAGACACTCAAAATTCAAAAATTCAAAGTATATTAATGAATTGGAGTGTGATGAAAAAGGTTGTGTTCTAGCATGTTGAAAAGCCAAAGGAAAAATAGTAAAGAGAGAAAGGGTTAAACTTTGCTTATTTACCTTACATCCATAATGCTTAGCACAATACTTTGTAGGAGGAAGAAAGGCAACAATTACTGAATTTATAATCTTTTTTTTTTTTTTTTTTTTTTTAAGACAGAGCCTTGCTCTGTCATCCAGACTGGAGTGCAGTGGTGCGATCTCGGCCCACTGCAGCCTCCACCTCCTGGGTTCAAGTATTTCTCTTGCCTCAACTTCCTGAGTAACTGAGATTACAGGTGCCAGCCACCACACCCAGCTAATTTTGTATTTTTAGTAGAGACAGGGTTTCACCATGTTGGCCAGGCTGGTCTCAGATGATCGGCTCACCTTAGCCTCCCAAAGTGGTGTGGATTACAGGCGTGATCCACCGTGCCCCGCCCTACGATCATTTTTAAGGTTGTAAGAAATTAGAACTTAAAAATCTGAACAATTTTTGCAATTCTTATCTTTCTTCCCCCTGTTGTCAGATCTTGAGGTGTTTATAAAATAGACTAACTAGTTGTTACAACTTAGCCATAATCAAAAGGCAGCTCTCACTACTTTAATAAGTATGTTGTAGCAGCCAGCTAAGAAAAATCTTTGTTGAAAAATGGTATGGTGTTTTAGCAGAGTAGAACTATTCCAAAATCAATATTTTAGGGACAGTGGAGGAAAAATTAAAGAAGCATCAAACAAAATACTTGATATTCATTAAACTTCCTGTATGGGGAACCACACATACCTTCCCACAAAGCCATGGACATCATCATAACTGTCATATATTTCAACATAGTCAGCCAAGCAGCCTGGGTCATCTTCAAGGTCAAAATTTAAAAAACTCAGGTGAATATGCTGACCATACTTAAGTCTAATGTGCCAGTAACAGATTTGGTTATCTTCATACTCATTTGGGAAGCCTGGAGATTTAAAAATTCGTTTTGGATCTGTAAAGACACCACCACACTCTTTTGCTGAAATGAGAAGAAAAAAAAAAAAAACCCAAAACATTAGGAAAAACATTATCTCCATTAAAAATGACATTTCTTAGCAATGTATTACTTTTTATGAAATATTAAATGGCTTAGCATCTATTATATATTATGTATACTTTTAGTTAAAGAATAAATGTATTTTTTCATACAAAAGAATAAATGTATTTTTTTCATCAATTGTTACTAAATTCTCTAAAATGAACATGAAGTCTTTTGAATTTATTTTTATTTTTATATTTTGAGACAAGATCTTGCTCTGTCACCCAGCCTGGAGTGCAATGACCCAATCTTAGCTCATTGCAGCCTTGAATTCCTTGGCTCAAGTGATCCTCCCACTTCAGCCTCCCAAGTAGCTGAGGTGACAGGCATGTGCTACCAAGCCCTGGTAATTTTTTTTTGTTTTCTGTAGAAACAGTTCTTGCTATGCTGCTCAGGCTGGTATTGAACTTCTACCTCAAGTGATCCTCCTGCCTCTGCCTCTGAAAATACTGAAATTATAGACACAAGCCACTGTACCCAGCCATGAATTTAAAAAAATTAAATATAGTAAGAAAAAAATGGCTGGGTGCAGTGATGCTTACCCTTAGTCCCAGATACTTTCGAGGCTGAGGTAGGAGAATCCCATGAGCCTAGGAGTTTGAGGCCAACCTGGGCAAAAAAATAAAAATAAAAATAAAGTTTAAAAAACTTGCCAGGTGCGGTGGCTCGCACCTGTAATCCTAGCACTTTGGGAGGCTGAGGTGGGTGGATCACCTGAGGTCAGGAGTTCAAGACCAGCCTGACCATCATGGAGAAACCCCATCTTTAAAAAAAAAAAAAAAAAAGTAAAAATAAAATAAAATAAAAAACTTAAAAAAAAGTAATTATGCTTCTGTTTATACTTTTGCTTTATTTTATCTCTTAAGGCATAACATGAACAAGCCTTTTGTGCACATGCCTATGTATTTTTTTTTTTTTTTTTTGAGATGGAGTTTGGTTCTGGTTCTCTTGCCCAGGCTGGAGTGCAGTAGCACAATCTTGGCTCACTGTAGTCTCCACGATTGTTCAAGCAATTCTCATGCCTCATCAGCCTCCCGAGTAGCTGGGATTACAGGCATGAGCCACCACATCTGGCTAATTTTTACGTTTTTAGTAGAGATAGGTTCTTGCCATGTTGGCCAGGTTGGTCTTGAACTCCTGACCTCAGGTGATGGACCCATCTCAGCTTCCCAAAGTGCTAGTATTACAGGCATGAGCCACGGCGCTTGGCCTATGTCTATGTATTTTGACAAATATATATACATTTATATTACAAATAGCCCTATCAAAATGGTAGGAACTTTGCCCTGCGGTGTCACCGTATGTCTTCAAGGCCACAAGCACTTAGAATAATGGATCCCATAAATTCTATTTGGAAAATCATTATACAATTTCAGGATCCAAAGAGGCTTTAGAGTCATTCTAATCCACTTAAAATGAATAATTTGTAAATATTCTGTATACTGCCTTTACTGATTTTAAACTAATACCCTATCTTAATATTTTAGGATTTGGTGGAGATATTCATGTTTGCTTTTTCCAAGTCATTCATCATTTTACAGATTTCAATATGTTATAACTTGTCATAAGAAAAACAAACACACATAAAGCAAAACAAAAACGGTCTATTAGAATCAGTGGTTTGCAGTATGACCTAGAGGGAAAGCTAGGAAAAGCCCTGGTTAATTTTAATTCCGTATCAGGTAATGCTTTATTTCATCAAAGCAGAACAGGAGCTTAGAAAGGCTGGGGAGCAACAAATGAAGATCAAGCATCTAGTTCAAGCTCGGTGACCACTGTACACTTCGTTTTTTTCATTGGTAAAATAAATATAACCATGTCTTTCCCATTATCTATCACGCAGGGTTATTCTAAGGATAAAAATACAGAAAATAATTTAAGGATGTTATGCAACCTCTAAGCTATTCTTATTGTATGATAAAATATATAACACATAGCTTGTATATCTGCATAAGCATGTACATTGCCAGCTTTAGGAGTGAATTGCTCCATCTCATAGCATCCAATCTTTGTTGTATATATTATTAGAAAAAATTCAAATATTGAACTAATTTGACTGCCTATTTGGCTATATTTATTTAGATCTATATTTTATGTTACATCTAGTTACTGCCTCATCTATTATTTAGAATATCAGCTCTAACTTGGTGACATCGATTAATCAATAATGATGGCATTTTTCTGAAACCATTATGGTTTTTTTATTCCAATGTTTCAGTGAGCTGTTCCCCTAATGTTAGTTCAGGCAGTCGAGTCTCGTTTCCTTCAAGTTAACCACATCCTAAATAATCAGCATACCACGAAATCCAAGTGAGCTAAATGCACTGAGAATTGGGTAAGAACAAGTCTCCCAGAATTCTGTACACATAGTCCCAGAGTGAAAAGTATTCAGTCTCTGTGAGAAAAGAAAGCAACTTATAATAATTTATAATTTGGATTATATTCTTATGAAAGGGCAATGAAATACTGAAGGACTCTTTCTTTTTTTTTTTTTTTTTTTTAAGATGGGGTTTCACCATGATGGCCAGGCTGGTCTTGAACTCCTGACCTCAGGTGATCCACCCACCTCAGCCTCCCAAAGTGCTAGGATTACAAGCATGAGCCACCTCTCCAGGTTTGAAGGACCCTTTCATTAGCACTTCTTCAATGACCCTAGAGTTTAATCTGTGGAAATTATCCAGTGGAAGCTCAGAGCTCTGAAAGTATCAAGTAAAAGAAGAATCAGGGAATACATTTGAAAAGAAGAGTTACTCTTAAGAGTGAAAGAAGAATGGCCTGCATAAATATGTTTAAGAAAATGTAAGAGAGGGAGGAAAGGAAGATACATAGTATGGACATAACTAAACATAGGACTAAATTAGCACTGTATAGTATAGGACTAAATAAGCTTAAAGCATGTCAAAGTGATTTGAAAGTTAAAGTTATATAAATGTGCTGTTAAGTATTCCTATTTTACCTCAGTTAAGACTAGTTGTAGCTCTAGGCAAAAATCTTTATTCCTGGACTACACATAATTTTGAGATATGGGTTAGTTGCAGACCTGAGAAACTGTTCTTCAATTGCTAATATCATTAAATAATAGATTTTATAATAATACACCAGAACCTCACTATGTAACTCTCCTACAGTGTTATGGAATTTCTTATAGGGTAAATCCAAATGGGACACATCTGAGGATGTTTATGATCCTAAGTGCCAGGGAGACTTTGTAACATACTGTAATATTTTATAACAACATTGGGGTGGGCACAGTGGCTCACATCTGTAATCCTAGCACTTTTGGAGGCCGAGGCAGGTGGATCACCAGGTCAAGAGATCGAGACCATCCTGGTCAACATGGTGAAACCCCATCTCTACTAAAAATACAAAAATTAGCCGGGCATGGTGGTGCATGCTTATAGTCCCAGCTACTCGGGAGGCTGAGGCAGAAGAATTGCCTGAACCCAGGAGGTGGAGGTTGCGGTGAGCTGAGATTGCGCCATTGCACTCCAGCCTGGGTAACGAGTGAAACTCCGTCTCAAAAAATATATATATATATAATATATATTTATAATATATATTTTATATGTATATATTACATATATATTATATATATTTTATATGTATATATTATATATATTATATATATTTTATATGTATATATTATATATATTTTATATATTTTATATGTATATATTATATACATTTTATATGTATATATTATATATATATTATATATATTTTATATGTATATGGTATATATATATATATGTATATACAGTATAATGTTAACTAGTATGTACAATATATAACTGTTAAACCATAGAATGAGAGCTGCTTAGTTTGGAAGTATAAGCATATATACACAAAAAGAAATTAGAGAATTTGTTTTCTTTGTCTCCCTTCCCCGTTCTATCGAAAGGACAATTTTGAATAGTTAATATTTGGTAGCACCACTTTATTGTTTTAGCTAATTCACTGTGACAAGTTTTTAATCTGCTTTTTGATTTTCTTTTTCTTTATGGGTGGGAAGTTCCCTGGTACAGAAAAGATCTGAATTCTCAGTCCCACCTGCCTAATCATTATTGACTCTCTGATTTTGGGTTACTTAACTTCTATAAGTTTCAATTTCCTGATTTCTAAAATAGATATAACAATAGCTCCTTGAAGAATTGTTGTGAATATTAATTGAAAGTTTAGATGAAGGAACTTAACTCCGTGTCTGGCATAGTATAAGCACTTTCTGAATTGCAGTTATTAGTAGTAATTATCATTACCAAATTCAATTATTTCTGGAACAGTAGCCATTTCTTTTTTAACAACCTCTTAGTAGCATGGAACTGTTTTTGCAAAACATAAAGTTATTATTTTTAACACACCATGTGGGTTGTAGCAATAGGCATCCCATCTTTCACTCCTATTGAGACGGACTCCATAATCAATAATGCCAGTTTTTCCAAATCCACAGTTGGGCCCTGGCTTCACAATGGGGTATCCAACTCTGCCCTTAGCCATCCATCCAGCAGCACAGACATGAAATCCTGCAAGAAGAAAAAGAGTTATGGACTAAACTGGTAAGCTGTCTTGGCTAAGCAAAAGTCATCTTAGCAAAGGCAGCTACTTCCAACAGTAAGTTTCTCAACTGCTCAAATCCAGTTCGTGTAAAGGGAGAACACTGTTTTCTAAATCAGAAAAAGTTTGAATACACATGAAATGTAACTTCTGATTTTTACTGGAGAACTACTTCTTACTTGAAAAAAATGCAAATGGACTACAAATTATTGTGGATATGAAACTAATCTAAGTTCAGAGCTAACTTCTTTTCACAAATGACTTACTGAATGCCAAGAAATAATTTCTGAACTTACCAATTTTGAACAAAATATTTTCAAGTGGTAATTTAATTTCTATTTCAGGATCAATTAAGATATTTGTAATATTTATTTATTGAGATGGAATGTCACTCAGTCACCCAGGCTAGAGTGCAGTGTCACACTCTCAGCTCACTGCAATGTCTACCTCCTAAGGTTCAAGCAATCCTCCTGCCTCAGCCTCCTGAATAGCTGGGATTACAGGCATGCACCATCACGCCTGGCTAATTTTTGTATTTTCAGTAGAGATGGGGTTCCCCAACGTTGGCTAGGCTGGTCTTGAATCCCTGACCTCAGGTGATCCGCCCACCTCGACCTCCCAAAGTGCTAGGATTACAGGCATGAGCCACCGAACCCAGCCTATTTACTTATTTAGAGACACAGTCTTGCTCTGTCATCCAGGCTGGAGTGGAGTGGCATGAACACAACTCACTGCAGCCTCCACCTTCTGGGCTCAAGCAATGCTGTCACCTCAGCCTTTAGAGTAGTGACCACAGGTGTGCACCACCACACTTGGCTAAGTTTTTGATTTCTTTTTTGTAGAGATGAGGTCTCACTGTGTTGCCTAGGATGGCCTTGAACTCCTCCTGCATCAAGCAATCCTCCTGTGTCAGCCTTCTAAAGTGCTGGGGTTACAGGGGTGAACCACTGCACTGGACCAGATATTAGTAATGTTTTAAAAGATTTGAATAAGGATAAATTCTCTCATACATTTCAAACAAAGGCTCAGCCCTATTTCCCTCACTCAGCCTCAGAGGCTGTTTTAATATCTGTCAGTGCCACCCAAGAGCAATTTTTCTAGAGGTCCAGAATGGCCAGTAAAGACTATGGGCTTTGTATCTATCATTCCAGTTACTTTGCCCCATGCTGTCCGTGATTATAGACCAGCAGTCACCTGGGGAGACTTGGGGGCATTTGAGAAAACCCTTACTTTTTTTTTCTTGAGTAATGTATCAGTTTTGCCTGACATCATCCCATCAGCAAAGGAGTTATGAATAGGGATGGCCCATTCTCCCCAAAGGCCAGAAGAGATGGTAACAATCCACTTTTCTATAAAGAAGTACATCACACCAGTTGATTGCTGGGATTTTCTCCAGGTCTTCTGATACCATTTCCTCAGTTTCTTTCTGCTTCTATCCCACAACCTGCCTGTCCTCCTTTTCCTTATAGCTTTTGATTCTGAAGTATGAATACATTCTCCCACTTAATGTAAAAAATTGGGGAAAAAGCCATTAAATTCAATATTTCTCCTACCAAGTAAATTTCTTTGTAAGACTCAATATAGTACTATGGCATCATTTAACAGCCTCCATACTCAGAAGTCAAAAAGAGATAAAACAATACTAAAAATGAATAGCAATGGCATTGAAATTAATGAGAAATTTAAATGATATTGAAATAATGAGTTTTTCATTTTCTTTTGATTTTTATTTTATTAGATCACACTGAGTTAAGACCCCAGATAAGTTGCTGGTACTAGCAACTTTCTGCCAACTCTAGGCAGATGGATAGGGGAAGTCAGAGAGCAAAGATGTCCTAGGGGCTTGGTGATGTAACAGAAGGGGGTTGGAGAAAGAAGTCTTGCTAGGGTCTAGGAAAGGTGAATTTTTTTTCCTCCAAGGATAAAAAAGAAGAAAAATCATTGTGAAATCAATTACCAATTTTTCTGGCTGCCTCTAGCTGTTTGTAAGTTGCAAGACGGCCGCCTTCAAATTCACACACCGCCTTAGCTTCTGCGTAGGTGAGCTTGTACTTCCCAGACCGTGCTTCTCTGTGGTACACACCTGCTGCTCGTTCTGTAAAATCACATGATGTCATAAAAGCAGTTATTTCTTCTTATGGAACAGGGGATATTTTGTGGCCTCAGCTGGAAGATTACGTCAGCTACTGTTCCTGCCAAAGGGCTTCCTGGGTTGGCTGCCTTGGGTGGCTAAGTTTTCATTGTTAGGAAGCTGGGTGGCTAAATTTTCATTGTTAGGAAGCTTTGGGGAAAGAGATGAATGGGAGGGAATTTTAGGGGAATTTGGGGCTATAAACAGAAACTTGAGGCTAAATTATGTTTTTGATCTGATAGCCTGAAATGAAGTTTTTATTTATTTTATTTTATTTTTGAGACGGGGTCTTACTCTGTCGTCCAGGCTGGCTCACTGCAATCTCTTTCCTTTTGGGTTAAAGCGATTCTCCTGTCTCAGCCTCCCCGCCGTAGGTAGGATTACAGGAATGTGCCACCACACCCGGCTAATTTTTGTATTTTTGGTAGAGATGAGGCCAGGCTGGTCTCAAACTCCTGACCTCAAGTGGTCCGTCTGCCTCGGCCTCCCAAAGTGTTAGGATTACAGGTGTGAGCCACCACACCCTGCTTAAAATAAAGTTTTTATACAACATTGTATTGTGACACTATTTGCAGGTGATAAAGTTTTGGCTTTCTTTTGGATTTAAGTTATATAAAAACTTGCAAAGGTAAGCAATAGGGGGAAAAAAAGGAGTTGAAGTCAAAAGAAACCAGTGAAGATGGATCATGTAGGTTCACATGATGGAGAAAAATAAGCTAAAATATCCAACTGAGGGAAATGACTAATGCAATATAGTTAAGAATTTAGTAAACAAATAAAAACTGAGGAAAGATCTGAAGGGATCCAAAGCAAATACTACAGTAGAAAAAGAAAAATAGATTCAAACACAGCAGAGAAAAAACTGGACACACCTAACTACCAGTTAATGCCCAAACTTTTTTTATCTGATTTATCTTTTTTAGTTCACATATTTTTCCCAACATATTTTAGGCAGTGTTAAGTCATACATGAGTTGTCTTCCAATATATTACTGTTTAAATGGATTGTTTTGAGTTTGGAGTGCTTTCTACCATAGAAACAATGTGAAAAGATTCCCAGGACAATAGTCATAACATTAGCTCTGTAGTTAGTTCTAATAGTTCTATGTAGTCTGACATTACGGTTAAGTCTCTGTATCCTGACCTGTGCAGTCAGCCCCCATTAGGACCACTTTCAATGAGAACATATGTTTCTTGGCATCAAGAAATGAATCCAGGGGAATTAGAAATATAGTTCTTTGTTTTCCACCCCAAGCTGAAGTCGACACTGACATAGTTCAATAGGAGAGGTTGCTTGGCATTTTCTGTTTTTCTGAACTCCAAGGATCCTGCGTTTATACATTACATAGTAAATCTCATTACTCACACACAGAGGACCTTAGTCAATCTGATGCTCGAGATCAGAGAATACCAGGAACATCAAGGAGTCAAGTTGTTTCTCCATTGAAAGGTACCTGCTGCCCAGTGTCCATACGCAAAGCCTCATTAAACTTTCGCTAGTTTTCAATTTGGTTATTTTGAGCATTAAACCACAGGGCATTTTGCTACATGCTGTGGGTCAGGTTCTATCCTCAAGGAACTTGGACACTAGTGAGTATTTTGAAGTCCTTTATCTTGAAATAGAAGAACACTAAGGCTTTTGGTAGAGATGGGAGGCATGTTTAACTTATGTATTATAACAGAGATTGTTGTTAATTATTAAAAATGTTAAAATTCTATTTCCTAAGAATATAGATTAAAAGACCTGTATTTGAAAAAAAATTTGTAGAAATTATTTTAATGTATACAAAGTTTTCTCAAATGGATTTTCTTTATATTTTATTTGAAAATTGAAATGTAATGTTTATAGAAAAAATTAATGGAGTATTGGCTGGGTGCAGTGGCTCATGCCTGTTGTCCCAGCAGTTTGGGAGACCAAAGCGGGTGGATCACCTGAGGTCAGAAGTTCGAGACCTGCCTGGCCAACATTGTGAAGCTCCATCTCTACTACACGTACAAAAAATTAGCCAGGTGTGGTGGTGCACACCTGTAGTTCCAACTACTCGGGAGGCCGAGGCAGGAGAATTGCTTGAATCAGGGAGGCAGGGTTGCAGTGAGCTGAGATCATGCTACTACACCCCAGCCTGGGTGATAGAGCGAGACTCCGTCTCAAAAAAAAAAAAAAAAATTAACGGATTAAAAAAATAACTATTTTAAATTTTCCTCCCAGTAATTTTTCATTAAAAAAATCTTTAATTTAGATTCGGGGGTATGTGTGAAGGTTTGTTACAAAGGTAAACTCACTTCACAAGGGTTTGTTGTACAGATTATTTCATCATCCAGGAGTTAAACCCAGCACCCAATAGTTATCTTTTCTGTTCTCCTTCCTCCCACCCTCAGTAATTTTTCTTAAACTTTTGGTACCTACTGATACTTGTCTAGTAATAACACTATAACAGAAATAGCAAAAAAATTTTATAATTTTTTGATTTAATTTATTAAATATTAATATTCCACATTGTCCTCTAACAGCACCAAACTTCCCAGTGTCTTGCCATATGAACAAATAGAGAAATCTTGGAGTATGTATCTGATAATTTTAAATAAGGTGTTTTATTAAAAATATTTCTCAATTCAGAATTTTGAGCTATCGGGATGAACCTCTGTATAATAAATCCTAATTTTACCTTTCAGAAGAAATAATATTTTATTAATTTATCTAGTTAATAGTCATTTATTAAAACTGAAAATTTGTTTATCCAATAAATGTTTTCTCCTTTTAGTGAGTGGCAACAGTAGAAATTGACTGTGATTTCCACTTTTGTTTCTGTCCTTTTGTTGTATAACCTGATGAGCCTCAGTTTCCTCATTTGTCAAATAGGAATAATGATAGCTTCTGGACCATGGGAGGAGCCCAAGATATGTTACTTTTCCCTTTCTTTCTTTCTGTCTTTCTCTCTTTCTTCCTTCCTTCCTTCCTTCCTTCCTTTCTTTCTTTCTTGCTTTCTTCCTTTCTTCCTTTCTTCCTTTCTTCCTTTCTCTCCTTTCTCTTTCTTTCTCTTTCTTTCTTTCTTTTCTTTCTTCCTTTCTTCCTTTCTCTTTTCTTTCTTTCTTTCTCTTTCTTTCTTTCTTTCTCTTTCTTTCTTTCTCTTTCTTTCTTTCTTTCTCTTTCTTTCTTTCTTTCTCTTTCTTTCTTTCTTTCTCTTTCTCTCTCTCTCTCTCTCTCTCTCTCTCTCTCTCTCTCTCCCCCTCTCTTTTTTTTTTTTTTGAGACGGAGTTTCACTCATGTTACCCAGGCTGGAGTGCAATGGCGCGATCTCAGCTCACCGCAACCTCCGCCTCCTGGGTT